CCAGGGATCTTCTTTACTTCTATGGGTTTCGCTCCCAGTTCCCGGTAGAACAGCTTCTGGTTATTCATGAAGCGCTCGTTATGCCGGAAGTAATTGACCTTTTTCGTGTACCGCCTTATCCTCAGGGCCCAAGCTTGGATCTTCATCTTCACGTTCTCTATGGCGGTCGGGAGATCGGCATCGGAGGTGATCTTGTACTTGGGGCACAGCCGCTTGTAGGTCAGTTTCACTTTCCGGGACGTGTTTCCCTTCTTGATCTCTTGAAGGGTACTAAGGTCTCGCCTTGCTGCATCGATCCGACTTTGGAGGCGCCTCTTCCAAGGTGGAATCGAGGAAGGGCCCTTTCCGGGTTTTGGGGTCGGCTTTTCCGGTCCTTGGTATTTCTGATGGATGGTAATGGCAGCTGCAAAGACACGATGGTTCAGCTCAGTCAGATCGCAGTCTGCAAGGTTGCAGGAGCTGATGATCTGGTTGATCTCCTCGATGTCTTTGGAGATGGCAAGGTTGAGCTTTAGTGGTCGTAGTCGGGGTCGGTCGGATATATATATATATATATTTTTTTTTTTTTTTCATGCTGTACCATATATTTTCCCACGTAAAAATTATGGGAAGGCTTTGGAATTCCAAGGTAGACCCATTTAAGGCTGTAAGGAGACTCCAGGTACTTCCGGCCAGAGGGTCTGAGGAAACATTCCGCATTTTCCTGTAATTCGTGTTAGCCTCCTGTAATCCTATGATCTATCATTTATATTTGTTCAATATCGGGGAAACGTGGAGTTTATGCCCAGAATTGGACGCTGGCTCAACGTGAGGAATGAGCGGATTTTCGACGTTGAAGCATCCCAGCAAACACAGTAGCGTTGTGGGAACGTTTCCCCAGAGTCGATACAATGTCATCGACGCTGAGGGTGAAAGGCCGACGTTGCGTGAATATTGTAGCAGTGTTATGGCCGTATGATACCTTTTTAAATCGTATTTCCTTAAATAATATTGATGGTAGTGTCATGGAATATGCACCGCCAAATAGAGAGAAAAATTTTTTTTTTCAAAAAACGACCAAGAACCTATCCAGTGTTACTACTCCAGTAACACCAGATATTGAGTCAACGCTGGACTAACATTGGGCACGATGTCTACGTACATCTTGCCATTATTGCCAATACCGGCTAAATAATGGCTAATGAATATCCAAATAATGCCATTCCATCATCGATCCAATATCAGACTGACGCGATGATCCAAAGTGCCCAAATTGCACGGAGGAGTTAATTTTGTGGAAATGTTGAAGTTCTCCTTTGGCCACTAGATGGAGGTATGAGTCTCGCTTTTCAACACAAAATTACACTTCCCTCTTTCCATGGAATCATCCCTCACAGGTATGTTTAGTACCTCACCATTTGTTTTTCATTGTCTCATTATAGCAACCAATAAAATCGGACACTTATTAATTTCTAAATAGGCTTTGGTAGCGCCTATTACCTTTCTTCAACCCCTTCCCGCAGCAAAATTCAACCTCCCCGTATTCCTCTCTGAGAGCATGAACTGGATCGAAATTTGGCATACTTCTTCCTCCTTCACCGCAGAATCGCTCCAGCAAATTTTAAGCTCCATCACCCCAGGGTTGTGGAGAACGCTGAATCTCGTTTTTAGAGGATGTGAATATCATTCCTTTCCCGCCCCGGGTAGCTACTCCCGGGGGGTTTTCGGAGGAAAGAGACCTACCATAAGACCTACCATAAGATGACGAAAAGGTGTTTTTTTTGTGGTTTTTTTGCTGTCTGCGATGCTCCATTTCGCCATAAATAATGAAATTAGCTGTCGTTCAATTAGGCTTAGAGTGCTTGCTCCGGTACCGTTCCGCAGTGTTGCCGGATACCGTGCCGAAATTATGCCAGATTCAAGGCTGTTTCAACATTCGTATTGGCGTCTGGATCTTCTGTTTTTAATGTATGAGATATGTTTATGCTGATTTCTTGAGATGAGTTGAGAATGCAGCGGTGGTTAGCTGTTATTGATCGATGTGATGGGATATGCAGATATCTTATCGGACATCCCAGAATTAACAGGATGGCGCATACCATGGATTCCATGCTGCTTGAGGTCTATCTCTCCTCAGACCTATTCGAGATGGTTTGAGGAACTCCAGATAGGTCTAACGTTACACGTCCACTCTGAAATGGTTCACGAACGTATGCATAGGCCTGCGATTGGCCTAACGTTACACGTCCTTAACCAGATGTCTCGAAGACCACGAATCACCCTTATTGTCCTAATTGGCGCCGTAAGTCGAGAATTGAGTTTCTTTTAAAAGGAAAAGGTAGACCTTGGCGTGACCTGAAGGCAGTCTGTTGGTTAGGCCTAGGCCCAACGTTAGTGAGTCCCATAGAGAGGGGGGGAGGAGGAGGTTGAAGAAAGGGAAAGCGATTGAAAATTGGTTTTCACATTACTTGATTATCCATATATTCAAGCTCATACTCCCTATGAGAAACCCTCGCATACAAGTGTTTGAATAATTGAATATGAGTTTCTACGAACTCGATTATGTACAATGGAGGTGGAAAGACTATTCTGCCCCCAGCGTAGGAAAGGAGAATTTCGGTGCTCCACAGAGGAGGAAAGGGAGAGCAGTCTCCTGAAAAGTACTAAGATTAGTACTTTCATAACAATATATAGTCCATTGCCTTCGTTATTGACCAAATATTGGGATGCTACAAAGGTGCGAGTGAGCGTTTAAATAAGTAACATTGCAATATTGGCTCGACGTTCAGCCAGTGTTGAACTTCAACGTTCATCTGAGTGTTCCAATAAGCGACATTGCAATAGTGACTTAATGTTAGCTGCAGCGCCAACCAAACACTGGGAAGGTTCAAAATTAACGTTCATGGAATGCTGATTGAATGTTTGAATGTTTCCTGGGATGTTTCATTTCAACATTGCGGCAATATTGTGGCAACATTAAGGTAACATTATGGCAACATTGTGGCAACATTCCTACATTGAAGAAAATCAATCCTGGCTCGACGTTGATAGGACGTCTTTGTGTCACTCAAAAAAATCAAAAACTAATGAAAATTGTACATAAAATAATTTCTAACATATAATGAAAACAATAATTTGTTCCATCATTACCATCATATCACGAATAAATAAATCCCGACACCGAAGGGGTCCTGGGCTGCTTCAACACCGAGACGGGCGCCATGTCCCACCTCGGCGTCCTCCCCGACTCCCCCGACGAACTCCGCGCCGCCTTCTACCTCTACACCCCTGAGAACCCGACCGACCCGCAGACCATCTCCTGGGAGGACCTCGAGATCATCCAGCAGTCGAACTGGCGACCCGGTCGGCCGACCAAGTTTCTCGCACATGGGTTCAACGAGGACGGGTTCCACCCGTGGATGATCGGACTCAAGGATACGTTTCTCGCCAAGGTGAGTTTCATTTTAGAAAAATTATTTTTAAGTTTAATTTTCGATAATAATTTAGAAAATTATTTCTTTAAAATTTTTAGTGAAGTAAAATTGAGTGAATTAGATTTTTTAATTTATGCTTGGATGTTATTTTCTATTTTTTTTTCATTTTCCCTCTTTTCATATTTTAATAATTATAAATAAAATAAAGAAATAAAATTCATTTGTACTTATATTTAAAAAAAAGGAGCCAATGAACGTGGTGTGCGTGGACTACCACCACGGCTCCCAAGCGCCGAACTACCTGCAAGCCGCGGCGAACTCGGAGATCGTCGGCCGGATGATCGCGAACACCGCCATCCTCATGACCGGACTCGGCGCGTCCCTCGCGGACTTCCACGTCATCGGCTTCAGCCTCGGCGCGCAGGTGGCGGGGCACGCCGGCGAGTGGTTCAAGGAGACGGGGGCGGGGGCGAAGCTCGGCAGGATTACGGGTCCGTCCTCCACAGAATTGCCATCTTTTATTTTAGTTCAATTGTTTTTTTTAATATTTGAGTATTTTTTTAACTTTAAAATTATGTATGTGTTTTAAATGAATGAATTAATGAATTACTGAATAAATATGAAAGAAATAAATATGAAAGAAATAAATATGAAAGAAATAAACATTAAAAAGAAATAAATGCCGATCCGGCAGGGCTGGACGCAGCGGCCCCCTTCTTCACGGACCTGGAGTACCAAGGCGACCGGACACACCTGGACCCATCGGACGCGAGCTTCGTGGACGTGATCCACTCGAACGCGGCCCACCTGCTCCTCGGCGGCGTCGGGGCGAAGGAGGCGCTGGGCCACGTCGACTTCTACCCGAACGGGGGGAAGGCGCAGCCGGAGTGTCCGAATGTCATCTTTCATACTTTCGAGCAATTATTTGGAGGTGAGACATATATATACAGTATATATATCATTTCATGAGGTATCGGTCAGGAAATAATTAGAATGAAATAATACAAAATAAAATAATAGAAGAGGGAGGAGAAGAGGAGAAAACCAACAGTCGAACAAAAAAGGACAAGGAAATTGTGTCGAGTCCCGAAGAGTTCGCTGGTCGAGGTTTCAGTCTCTCCAGCTGGTCCGAAAGGGTTTTTTTTTTTTTTGCGGGATTCGGGAATTTCGGGTCGTCTTGCGGTGTCGTCCCCCGATGATTCCGATTTTCGACCGGGTCGTCTCGAGCGAGTCGTGGTCTCCCGAGGTCGACGACGAGCTCTTGCGTCTTCGGAGGCGGAGGGTGGAGGCCGGGTTGCTTCGCGAAACGAACTGGCGGCACGGACGGCTTCATTGTGCTCGGTGGGATCGGCAGATTGCGGCTGCGACTGGGGTGTCGTCGGCATGTTTTAGGAGAAGGGTGCCTTCGCTTGTGATTAAATCATAATGTGTATATATATACATTATGATTTAATATTTACATATTTATTTTATTTTATATATTTTTTTACTCGGTTTAAGTGCGAACTGTAACTTTGACCTCGGTGGACAAAAAAAAAGGGAGGAAGAGGTACGATTTAGTGCTATCTTCTCGGTCGTAGGCGTTAAGGAGCTGAGACTTTCGATTAGCGCGAAGATAAGGAAGTCTTAGACTGTTAATCGCCTGATAATCGCCTTTTCGAGGGGATTATGAGGAATGCCTCCGATCCGGCCGGCCAGCGAGGCCGAGGCGAAGGGGGAAAAATGCTGCGGGATAAGCGCAGATGGATGATCTATCTCCGTTTCATCTTTCCCGGGTGCAGACGGGTGAGACGATTATCTCCCCTTTTAATCTGGGACGGAGATACGATTATCTCCTACTTATATCCGGGAGAGACGCGCTCCGCCGAGTCCACGCGGAAACTCGGACGTGAATCTGAAGGTCTCGAAATAGATCCCGATATTTCCTTTCCTCGTCCTTCAGCCTCCACGTCATCCGACCTCCATAGCGAGGAGGAGGAGGATCCTCCACTGGTCGCTTTCCCTCTCGTATTTGGAGGCAAACGACCTCCAGTACCCATCTCCCATCGTTCCTCGACCTCCTTTCCCCGGCGGGAATCCGCGTCGCGCGGAAGTACCGAACGACACACATCCGGGTCCAAAGCAACATTTTCATGGCTTCTCTCTCTCTCTTTCTCTCTGCTCTCTTCATCGGCATCCAACCGAGCGACGTCTGACGTCCTCGTGAGGATAGACCGTGGACGTGGCTGAAGCCGCCTAATCTCTCGTAGCCAGCGCGGGACGGAATGGAAACGGATCGAGAGCCGCTTCGGCTCTTCGCTCCTTTTCCTCCTTCATCCTCAGGTGCATTAATGCTAGTCCTTTGAGGGGTACGAACGAGCGTCGTTTGCAAGGGGGGGGGGGGGGGGGGGGGGAGAGGGGGGGGGGAAGACAGCCATGGGTAAAAGGTCTAGACGAAGGTCTCGAGTCTAGTCTGGCTCGAACCCATCGACCTGGACCAAGTTAACGCTCGGCCGATGATCGGCCGATGCCTGGTAGATTCTCGGCTGGGCCGGGGATCGTTTCAGCCTGCGTCACAACGCATGCCTCTAATCATCATCGAAGATGCAAAGCTGCTGGAAAAGACTCGATCGGGACCGGATCGATTCCCCTTTAACTGCACTGTCGTATCGATCGGCATCGTACTTCGTTTGTGCACCAAGCGTCAATGATGTAAGCAAAGTCGTACGTGTCGATGCCTATCGACAGGGAAGCGTGCTCGCAGAATGCGATGTTTGCTGCCATCTATGCCATTTCGACCGAACTACGCGCGCCGAGTTTGATGGCGTCACTCTGAGCCCCGTGCCACTTGTCTTTTGCTATTTAGGACTTCATAATGACCGTGCGTCCGCGATTGATAGGGCCGCGAGGAAAACCTTTACCAATTCTATTAAGGACGTGAAAACTGTCGCAAATTTCATCGTTTCATCTTTCTTGGACGATTCATTCCCAGTTCGATGCCGATTGCGATCGATGTCGTCGATTTTCGTTTTTTTTTTTTCCGCACGTTCCATGCGTCCATGTGCGTGAGACATTTACATTCTTGATTTTGTGAATCGCGAAGAGCAAGCCTGGAGATCATGCACTCGAGTGCATCTCATTTGCATCTCATTATATTTACATTTACAATTTCCTTTTCGACCGGCACAGAACCTTTAACCATAACGTTTCTTTCGACTGTAAAATAATTTAACGAGATTCTATGACCGCGGAATGATTGCTAACGAACATGGCTCTCGCAGAAATTGCAGGAATGTACTTTTTTTTTTAAGTACATGAGCGGAATGCTCAAGAGACGAAAGGCTTCGAAGGGCGAATCCGAATATCGGTTCCCTCGTCGGATCATGGCCCAAATATCGGCCGAGAATCTACCAGGCATCGGCCGATCATCGGCCGAGCGTTAACTTGGTCCAGGTCGATGGGTTCGAGCCAGACTAGACTCGAGACCTTCGTCTAGACCTTTTACCCATGGCTGGAACGAATATTGAAGGGCAAGGCGAGGATAGTCTAGGTCCTGACAACGATGTCCATGCAGATGCAGCGATGTGCATGCAGATGCAAGTCGAGGCCCATCGAAGGAATCGGAAGAGAGCCGGAAGGAAACTGGTAGAGGACCGGTAGAGAACCGGTAAAGGACCGTGTGGATCCTGACGGACGACCTGAATCCGTTTCTCGAGTGGAGGCCAATGTCGCGATCCTTTCTAAACCCGGATTACAACTCTTTACCCAGAAGCCGGACAAAAAAAAAAAAACCCTCGCCGGTCCGCGAGGGTTTTTCACGGCTGGCCGAGCAACGGAAGGAATCCGCACGAAACTGCTCCGTCCGGGCGATTCGTAAACGCTCGTGCTTTTTCTCTCGCTTTCCTCTTTCGTCTTCTCCGTTTCCAGGGAATTTCTTTTCGTTTTCTCGACGACCGAAACGATCCTCTACGTTGCAACCGATCAGGGCATTTATCTTCCAGTAACTTCTTTCATTTGAGCCAGGAGTTCGCTAAATGGCTGAACAAATCAGCTGAATGTCTGTGCTTCCAAATCCCGATTCCCATCCCCGATTCCTTTCCCCTATTCCCAACCAGAATGAAATCGGAATGATTATTTTCACTCGCCCTTCCCCCGAAATCGCTGTGAACTCGCCCCCTTTTCCCCCTCATTTCTTCTCTGCCTCTTCTGTCCGGAGAAAGGGAGTCCTCGGTTCAGGATTTCTTAATTTGCTAAACTCGATGCACTGGATCCGTTGCTAAGATTTAATTTCCCTTCAGTTTTGCATTGATAAGGAAAAAAAGGGGGGGAAAGGGGAAAAAAGAGGGGAAAAGGGGGGAAAGGGGGTAAGGGGGGAAAAGGGGAAAAAAGGGGGGGAAAAGGAGAAAAAAGGCAGGGTGAATTTTGTCCTGTGTCCCTTGCCCTCACGCGACGCAACCTGACTTTAACGGGTCCAGCAGCGATGGCGAAGCTGGAGGATTTCGGCGGCGGTGGAGGGCAGCGAGGAGGTTCATGGCGAAGGGGTTGAAGGGAGACACGGGACGGGTGGATGTTCCTTGGGTGGATGTTCCTTCTCGTCGCGGGGATGGCAGGGCGTGCCTTTGCTTTAGAGGTTGGGATTCCGAGGGGGATTTCAGGGCGGTGTGCTCGAATTCCGAAATTAATGTCAGGTAGGGCTTCGGGTTTATCCGGTGACGTAACCAGACCAGAAATTAGATGGGTGGGGGGAGGGGGGGAATGAGACTTCGTTCTCCTTTCCCTTCATTAGTTGCGACTGGTTTTAGCAATATTCCCGAGATTAGAGGCGACGGCGGCAATGAATCCTGAATACGGTAGAGAGAAATGGAGTAAGCTAATGAATTGTGCCAGCTGGGCAGTAAATTCTTCGCTTCAATATTTCACGTGAATTCTCCAAAAATCTTTCCTTTTCCTTCTTTTGAACAAACTTCATCTTCTTATTCATGGAATTATTTTATTTTATATAAATTCTCTCCAGTCATAAAGGTAGTTGTATTCCTTCGACTCCTTCTTCTTCTCTCCGCGTGGATTTAATTCATTTTCTAGGAGGCGTCTACCCAGGCAGCAAACCATGTTGGGCCGACGTCGGCCGCGAGTGGGGAGCGTGGGCCCACATCACAGTGGGCTGCCCCAGTAGGCCCCACATGGGCGCTAGTGCAGCCAACGTTTTGGCCAGCTATTTATCTCAGTTATTCCAGCGAACGAGCTTCCCATAACTGAATCGAGATAGCGCCAAGTCAGCCACGACTTTTTAAATATCAGGCAGTGATTCGCTATAAGTCTCCAGTTCTTTCCATGCGGTACCTGAACTTTTCCCACAGGCAACGTAGGGAAAGACACTCGAATCCCTCAAAGTATCAGTTAAAAAAAAAAAATTTTAACAGAAGCTAGCGCCTCCCGGTGATCGTGGAGGAGTCGAACCACTGGCTCGACTGGTTTCCTTCTAACATCTCGCGCAGAGGAAATGCTCGGCTCTCCTCGGGGAGACATAAATCAGCGGATGATGAAAGAGATCACCCGAGGGATTTCACCCGACAAGCCCCGCCAGAGCGGGAAACGACCCCCCTAAAGGTGACGGATGAAGTCCCGATGGGACTCCAATCCCGAGTGGAAAGTGCATGCCCCCAGATGGAGACGATTGACGGGAGGTAGTACTCGCTGGAGTACTTCTCGGCCGGACCGAGAGAGACTCGAGGATCTCGGATGAGGATCAAACAATCCTTCTCCCCCCAAAAAGTAGAAGCTTTCTCCAGGCCTCTTAGAGATGTCTGAAAGTCATATCGCGCCTCGATGTTAGGAAGGTGGGGACCCCCGGAAGGTGGGAATGAAGTTTCGATGGAAGGTTTCTCATAGTCATTCTCTATCTAGCTGGTAAGAACAGGCGAAATATGCACGAAACAAAAAATATTTCTAGGATAGACTGCATTCCGGAAGCATGGCTGAAGAAGAAAGGGATCGACTTTCTCGATGCGAAGGCTTTAAATTTCTCTCCAGAGGTGATGGGAATGAGCCTTCCGTAGAAGGCGAAGGCGGTAATGGAAAGAAAAAGATGCCGTAAATGTGCGAAAAGAGAAACGAATTGCAATTCTAAAAAACTTGAAGGAAAAAAAGCCGGATTTATACTCCTGCCGAGCATAAATCCAGCTTTGAAGTTTCCCAGCGAAGGCGAGCGAAAAGCGGAGACGTTTTGTAGTTTTTTCCGTCCCCAGCCTCATCCGGGGAAGCGTGAAAGGCAGGAGGATTGAATGGCGAGAGGAATAACACCTCATCGTGTTAGCCGAGGAGGAAGGGAAGGAGAAGAGCACTCTTGCACGCTGCTTCCTCCGGACTGGAGGGTTGAGGATCTTTCCGCGTTTACGACGAGTCTCTTGGGTAGGAATATCGATCTGCTGAGGGGGTTCCGGGCCCAATTTGCGGATTCCTTCGAATTTTCAGCTAGTGGCTGTCTGTACGAGAACGCAATGATCGACGTTAAAAGTGTGTTCTCTCGACGCGAAGGTCCAGATCGAGGACGAGAAGCGTGAACGGAATTCCGGCGGTGATCGAATAATTGGGTGAAATCGCGCTTGGATCGCGTCGTCGTTCGAGGAGGAAATCGAGTGAAAATCGAGTCCCGACGGGATTCTGGGGGAATCATCATCGAGAAAACTCCATTTTCCCATTAGCTGCGTGCATTTGGCTCGGGATACGGGGGGATTTTCGTTGCCTTTAAGATCCTTTTAAAGGATCCCTTTAAGATTCGACGGTGTGCCGAGTCGTTCGCGGAAAGGGTCCGTCGATTCTCGGAAGGAATCTCGGCGGGAGACAAGATTCTCTTCCAAATTTTTTTTCGATCGAGAGGAACGAAAGGGATTCCGACGTCGTCGACTCGGACTCGGTAACCGACATAAACGGAATTTCTATGATGGTAAGACCCCATTTCGAGAACTGCGTTCCATTCCGGAAGTTTAGAACTAAAAGCGGTCTAATGGCACTCGAGAGGGTTCAGAGCTACAGAACAGACAAAAGAGATAGACGACTTTGAAACGTTAAGAGTCTTTTCTCTCGGGAGAGGGTTAACGAGGGGGGGAGGGGGGGGTAGGGGCTCATCAAGACTTTTGATGTCATTAAGAGAATCGATAACGTGAAGCGTGATATATTTTCCCAACTTCGTGATTACAGCTGAACGAGATGGAAATGATACGATTAAAGTGAGACACAAATTAAGGAATAATTAGTTGTGGGGTGGTAAATACCCCAGGCGATGAACTTGCTTCTCCCGCGCAGTCAATAATAAATAAATAAATAATAAGAGCAACATAGATGTGAGTGAATAGACAGTGAGTGGATACGCTGACAAATATATTTATCTTCAGGAGGGGTAAACCTAATTATTAGGCTAATTAATAATTACCTTGACATGGGACGTGATAGAGAAAGCGAAAGGGTCTATCCGAGCCTTGAACCTTGAAGATTGAACGATAAGGGATGAGCCCGATTCCGAAATTCCTGGTCGTTTCGTTGCCTCGAGACACGTTGACGGTCTCAATTAGGTTTTATTACTGGTTTCTCGAGGGCAGAGAAATTCCTGGAAATATAGATTTCGTTTGAAAAATTGGGCTAGTAGGCTTGATCGTGGCAGGAGGGATAAAATCTCATCGCATATGCCTGTCAATCCTTCGCAAGGATATCTAAGCCAGTGGTGTCCAACCCGTGGCCCGCGGGCAAAAAGTGGCCCTCAAGGCCTTGACCCACAATAAATACCCTCAGGTTTCCTTAAAATAGTATCTTGCAATACTAGTGACGGCGTATGGCTGTGGGAGTGAGCTATGTGGCCCCCTGGCCGAAATGGTTGGGCACCACTGGTCTAAGCTATTTGGCTGGATGCCAGGAGTTGAAGTAAAATACTTGCAAAACTAAGAAAGGGACGAAGTTACAATACTCTACAATGGAAAATCTACATTGGAAGGAGGAGATGTCTTGAAACCTTTCCTGATTCTGCCAGGAAATTGCGAACTAGTTTCCCGCCAATTCTCCTCGTGACCGTCGAGTGAGGAAAATTACGGAAACGTGCGTGACGCGTTTTGCTGCCGACGCGGAATGCATTTCACCGCGATCGCAGGGCATTCGCGGAACCGAGCATCGAATGACACGTGAACGCGTTGGAACGTGCCGACAGATGGCGAAGAGGACGAAGATTCGATCTGCAACCACCGGAGGGCCCACTACTACTACGAGGAGTCGGTGCTGTCCGACTGCGTGTTCGTTGGCTTCCCCTGCACTGGGATCGACGACTTTGACGATTTCAAGGATGGGCTGTGCTTCAGTTGCCCCGAGGGAGGTGCCTGTGGGGTCATGGGGTACAACTCGCCCGCGTCCACTTCGAGGGGCTCGTTCTTCTTCAAGACCAGGGGAGAGGCTCCGTTCTGCGGTGGGTCGAGGTCGTGCCGACAGGGGCAGTCAGTAAAGACGATTCATCAGAGTTTTTTTTTTTCTGGTTGCAGGGACGCAGTATCACGTCGCGGTGTTCGTGAACGATAATCAGTTCAATTCTTGGGGTCTTCTTCGAGTTACCATTCAAGCCACGGGAGAGTCCTTCGACGTTACCGGGTATGTACATAATGCACTTTAAAAATAGCGTAACATCTTGTACCTTCCGAGTTACAAGATGTTTCGTACGATGGAGCAAAACCTCTCGATAAAAAAAGATGCGGGATAATCTGGAAAGCGATAACAAAACAATTTTGCTATTGGAGAACTGTGCAGTAATTTGATGGTATAGAAATTCCATACCGATTGGAAAACCATAAGTTTTCCCAATACCTGTTACGTAGAAATAGGAAAACATTAGATGATGTTGACTATGCAAGAGGCTCTGTTGCGTCACGTAGAAGAGCGATTTCCTTCCCTCATCAGCACGCGTGCGCCCGTCGTCGCAAAATTCGGTGGTCTTAGATTTACGGAATGAACTACAATTCTCCCGCGATTGTGCTGCAGGGAGAGGGAAAAACTGGAGCAAGGAGAAGAGATGAAGACGGCGGCAGTCGGCAGGTTCCAACCGCCGGGAGAGACCATGGACATCTCTCTCCGATACGAGGCGTCAGACAACCTCATCCTGCCGGGCAAGGATCAGTGGTATTTCGACTACGTCAAGATCACCATCGCCGGAGGAAATACGTGAGTTCGACGAACGAGTTTGACGAAAGTCAAGCATGGAAGAGCAGTTCCGTCGTCTCGTAACGACGAGCTACCTGCGCCGCGAATGCGACTGTCCCACTTCGAAACATTCTGAATGGGAAAGTCATGGAACAAAACTCGGATGCTGCTCAGGAATGATTACGTAATTATCGAACGACGATAAGTTTCATGGGAAACATGATGAAATTCCTTCGATGAAATTGCTGAATGCTAGGAACTAAAACAATTGTCCTAACATGCTGGCTATCTCTCGTTTTGCCTCTCAAGGCACAGTTTGCTCCCAAAATCATCCCTTTTCCTGAATTATCTTCCCCTCGACGGAGTTTCCAAGTACCGAGTCTCTGCTGCACTGCAAGGCCTGAAGCTACTCGGGCGGGTGCAGCCAGCTTTCATAATTCAATTGGCAACTTCGCTCTTGCTCCTGCTCCATGGGCAAATAAGTTACGAGGAACCTGGGCCCTGGAAGATCTAGGCTGCTAAGATATATAATGCCATCAATCGTGACTGAGTAATACGGACTACATATATGTTCGGAAGCACAATTTGATTACGTGATTGCGAGCTGAATGCTCCAAATGAATTCAACAGGTGATTGCGAGTGGTGTGATGTCGATAGAAATAGAATCGGCAAGGCCTTTCCTTTTTTGCCTTTTCCCCTCACTCCTCAAGGGTTGAGTCAAGGCTGTCAGTCGTAAGGTCGCAGAGAACAATGGAGAACTCGGAATCCCGCATCACCTCTGATGCGGAATTCCGATTATATTATATGCAAATCATCCAACGTATGTTGAAAATAAAAGCAGCTTGGAAAGAATCCTGTCGGGGAAAATTAAGGAGTGTGCGAACTCACGAGAGATGTCGTAGCTTGGTTAGAGACATAAGAACAATACCAATACCGGATGCAAAGAAAAGCAGACAGATTTAGTCTGCCTCCTTTGCAGATATTCCCGGAAATTTCCCCTTTCAACCTGAAATTCAGTCTTTTTTTTTAGTGCAGTCTCGTTGTTAGGACTCTATCGCTACTTCCGTTCTTCCACGAAGCCTAGTAGAATGTGATTTAGCAGCAATGAAATTAGGAGACTTACCGTCACGATACCAGTTGGGATTTATTTCTTTGATGGGAATATCGATAATAAAGGAACATCTCATCGATCATAATAAAAACTATCTTCTCCCCGACAGGTATTACTACTGCGGAATGAGGACAATGATCGAGACGCACAAGGAGATTGCGATGACTCTGACGCAAACTCCCTGTTGAACCCGATGTGTCATTCAGCTGTGATGAAATAAACTTTACGGGGGCCCTTGTCCTACATTTCCTTCGGATCTTTATCTTATAGACGGAAGGACCTGAAGATCTTTCCATTTCGTCTAAGAAATGGATTTCCAAAATGGATTTTCATTATCACCAAGATTTTCAAGCGCATTCTCAATTATTTTTTAAGCAAAGAAACGCTAATGCTGTCATTTTTTTTTACTACTAACCTCTTATCAATCATAACACAGACGGAGACAGCCTAGAACAACGACAACAATAACATTAGCAACAAAGTGCTATCACACTGTTTTACACAAAAACAAGTAGCATCCACATAGAGGAATACTGGAGCTTTTAGACCGCCTGGCACACGATACACGAAAAACAGGAAATACAGTGTCTTTTCAATGAATTTGCCCATGAAGCAAAACTTTGGGAATGAGGGAGGTGGATTTTTTTCCCCGTTGGTTTGAAATCACTGTACCCTGGAAGACTCATTTGAAAGGCCACGGAGAGCACTGAATGACGCGGTCCCAGCATGGACATTTGGAATCACAAGAAGCATGGCAGGAACGTTGCATTTGAGGAGATAACTTACCTCATAAAACGATGACAATTTCTCAAGTTTTTTAAATATATCCTGAGTGACAGATACAGAAGGGCATCTCTGAGGGACTATTTCCTTGCTCTTCTATCAATTGCAATTTAGGGTGGATTTTTGAACAGAGCACTATCCGATAATGCAGCTTTATTTACCGGATTTATAATGCATTTTCTCCGAAATAAAGCTGCATTATCGGATAATGCTCTGTTCAAAAATCCACCCTTACTTTTGATTGAGTTGGTAGTCTTCATCCCCGTGCTCTAGGCACTATATGTGAATGGGGAGCCCAGNTATTTACCGGATTTATAATGCATTTTCTCCGAAATAAAGCTGCATTATCGGATAATGCTCTGTTCAAAAATCCACCCTTACTTTTGATTGAGTTGGTAGTCTTCATCCCCGTGCTCTAGGCACTATATGTGAATGGGGAGCCCAGTTTCGATAAGTGTGGATGGGAATGTATCGATACTGGAAATCGTAGGAATGTGCTGGGATGATGAGGGGGTTCGGAGGTAGATGATGAAGCCGTCTTGCTCCCCGTGGAAACGCCCCGGGTCCCATCCCACCGTGCATTCTCCGACCCTGCAAGTACCGGTCTCCAGCACTCTCCGAATTCTCCTCCGAAGCACTGGCTTGGGCCTGCCGAGCCGACAGTTGATTCAAGTCCACGTGAGCGAAGGTCAAGGACCGTCCTTGAGGCCTGGGAAGGTAATTGGTCTCTCTGGAAACGGAGCTCTCCGAGGAACTCCGCCTGGGAGAATCCTGGAGATTCAGGACCCGGTTACGCGAAACCGGGAGTAACCGATAAACCGGGATCTCCTGGGCTTCATCGGTTTCGTTATTTTTTGTAATTTTTGCTTCGGTCCTAGATAACATCACTTCACTAGTCGTATTGGGAGGGGACGGTGTCGAAGACAAGGCGACGGCAGTGGTGGAAGGAGCCACGGTGGGCATCGACGAATCTGAATTTCTAATGGGCGATACGGTGGTCGTGGAAGTGGTCAAAGGGGTGCCGATGGCTGGCATGATGGTGGTGGTGGTGATTGCGATGGGCATGAGCTTCGGTCGAGACTGGGGGGGTTTCAACATGATAGGGTGGGGGCGGCGGGCTGGGAAGGGGTGGAGGAAATACGATGGCCTCGGGCTGTCCACCTACAAGAATTAAAGCACATTTTCAGTAACGGAAATTGTTGCATCCAGATCCACATCATTCATGACTCATGGATAAATTTAGCTACAGCTAAATTTATTCAGTCCTCATGACTCATGAATGAACTCATTCTTCAGTTTGGGCGTTCGTACTAACTCAAAGCAGGCCTAAGCAATCTTCTTTTTCGGCTGCCAGTTACGACTACTCTTGGCATGAACCAGTCAACTAACAGTTGCAACATGGCACCAATCAGTCTGCGAATCTCAGAAATGAGAATAAACTCACTTTGGTGGGATGAGATCGTTCTTTCTGCAACTGGTTACCTGATTTGGCAGAGCTGAGTCATTCAGTTACAATTGGATTTCTCTGAAACCAGTGAACCAGTAAATTCTGATTGGAGAACGGACAGAGAGGTTTCTTTCATATTCCCGACCATCCATAGAGCACATAATTCCCTTTCCAAATGAAAGAGAGGTCATTATGGTACCAACGCTTGCTGTATAGACGAACATAACTCCCCCCCCCCACCCAAAAAAAAAAGACTCAAAGATTCTCTGGAAGGCAGGCAAAAGGATAGGCTCCTGATACTACTCCATCTCCATCTAATTATACTCCTGCCTTTACGTCCGTTCACTTGAATATATTGAAAACCCAAAATGCTAGTTTACAAAATCAAAAAGAGGGAGGACGGAGACTTGGAGTAACGGGAATTCTTGTTTCTTCTTCTCCACGATGAAAGAACTGGATTTCTTTCTCTTACCTTGGGGGGCTCCTCGACGAGGGAGGGGGCCGGGATGAGGACGATGGCAGATTCTGGGAATTTGCCCTTGGGATAAAAGGCCGGATGGGCCGGGGGCAACACAGGGCCAACGTTCATGTAAGCCAGTCCGTTCCCATCGTCACTCGACGACGTCGAGAAGAAACGTTGGATTCGATTCGTCTCAAGGTATCCCTCCTACGCTTCCCATGGAATGAGAAACCCACTTTGATCAGGATATTGCATGCTTAATAGAGTTTCATGGAAATGAGAAGGGAGAATGAATCTGACATCAGGAGAAGGCGGAGAAGTGCTCCAAGGTGGATAAGTGCAACTGCCTTGCGTCAATAACAGGGGATGAGGGATTTCATTCAGCAAGTTCACCTTACTGCAATGTCCCTTGCTGGCATAATGATAAAAGCACAAATAAATAAAATAAAGGAAATAAATTTACAAACTGTCCTGTGACTCGACGGAGAAATAAAAAAAAAAACCTTTTCCCGTATGAATCCATCATGTGGATATTGTGAATGGAGAGTGCGGGTTTGCCGTTGTAGATCCAGCCCTTGTAGGCGATGTATCGAATCTGAACGATGAAGTCCTCTCCAATGGCTGGGTGGGGCACGATGATCTTCACCACCCTCTCCCCCCCAACGATTTCCTCGTCGTCTTTCCTGCATAATCGCGGAAATATACCGTTTGCAGCTGACGTCATGGGGTTAAAAGAAACCATGTGGTAAGCCCAATATCCTCTTCGCACGTTCACGCTCCATTTAGTAAGAGGCTTTGAATTCCTTATTTCGATTCTTTCACACTTTTTTTGCAGTGTTTTCTCCACACTCAAGATGTTCCCGACTTTTGCAACAAATATTGACGTACACAAAAAATAGAAAAAGTTCCACTTTACAAGGAATTACATTGCCACTTTCAAAGAGATGGACATACCAAGTGATAGGGAAAGTTTCGCTGTAATTATGTGCACCCAGGATGATCACCTCCAGTCTTCCATACGTCGCCTCCTGCTCCGAAGAGATCTCTACCGTGACCTTGTACTGGTTCCCTGTTCATTTACAGGAATTTAGAAATAGAACAAAGAAACTGCATGCAAGGTAACAATAAAAAGATAAGGACTGAGGCCACCATTTATGCGAATCTTGGCATAAAATATGAATAACTTCATTCTTTTCTGCTTTAACCTTGAATTTAAAATTGATCATTAATTAAATTATTTTTCAATCATCAATAACCATCAAATACTCTTTTCTTTAGTGGTCCTTACCGCAGAAGGGTTCAGTGTCCCGGGTGACGAGATAGAGGGTACCTCTACCCCTGGCCACGTTGGCGTAGTATCCCATGTTGCCACAGTCCGTCCAATCCGCTCCGCAAGGGAAACACTCCCCTTCCAGGAATTTCTCGTAGGATTCACAGACGAAGGAAGGGAAGGGGCATTGAGGAGCCAGAGAATAGGCAAAGAATTTGTAGGCCCTTCGATGGTTGCAAAGACTTCGCCCTTCCGATTCTCGAGCTGCATCAGATATTCAGCATATATGCAAAAATTAACTCGCTCATTCCATAAATGCAAAATTCAACGGCATTCGCGCATGACGAACTTGAAAGAGCTCAAAATTGCACCTTATGGACCTTCTTAGAACTAAGTCCATTTGATAACATGTATGGACACTAACTTCATTGAAGGGCCCCTGGGAACAAAATCGGTCATAGCTTCAAGGCAGTTCTCCAGCTCGGTGACCTGGCGGATATCTAGTCTACTATGCATTACGTTTCTTTAGACGTTACAGCGTTCTGGCGTTAATGTGAGTGAGCAGAGCGATCACGAAGACTGAACATAGAGAGTGACGTACACCAAATGAAGTCAGTGACAGCACCGACGAAGAGGTTGTGGCATCCCTTCTGAACCCTTCCCCCATTGGGGTAGAAGTCCACATCCCCCATGGGGGTGGCAGACCCCAATCCCCCCATGATAAGGCTATCCCCATTCGAGTGAATCACGTCCACGAAACTCGCATCCCCGGAATCCAACCGAGCTGCATTCTCGTAGCTCTCGAATAGGGGACCCGCCGGATCCAAACCTGTCAAAAGCAGACCACATACAAATTGGCCTTGCACTCCAAACAAGTCTTGCACATTGAAAGCAAGGATATAAATCCAAATTTCCAACAGTGGCATCGATTTGGTGCTTCATTGTGGAAAGGGCTGCAGTACCTCTAGCATGTCATTCCACCATCAATGTTGGCTCCCATATAAGATTAAACTTGATGTGTTTCCCTCTTATGCGTCAATTTCACTTGAGGGTGACTTCACATCTGGCCATTGCGTCATCAAATCCTCACATCGTCAATGAAATAATATTTATCTTATTCATATCAATCGTACCTATCTAGTCTCGTTTCTCTGGTACCCTGGAGTAAGAATAATCATAAGTCAGATTTCAATCGCAAGTAAGCGGGCACAGGATTCCCATTCTCGCTGATAAAAATTACTCTGCCTTTTTTTTTGTCCGACAAGATGGATTCCACGAACGTACGATTGTTCCACACGATAGACAAGGTGAGAAAGCGAGGACATTTACTGCATTTTTTTACCCTTCACATCGACTTTGAGGCTGTTTATGCTCATGGCAGCTATTCGATGAAGTTTACCTTGAATTTGGCTCTTTGGATGCACCTTCCATTTGCAAATACATTTTGAGCCTCTCAATTCCTGCTCGAAAACGTTGCTAGGGGAGAATTTACTTAAGTGACTCTTCTAAAGAAACTTCGCCTACGTCACTTCTATAGCCCGGTAAACAACATTCTTTAGGTGGACTTTTCCTCGAACGATCCTTCTTCTGCAATCACCGGGCGGAATTACCGGTGACTAGAAAATATTATCAGTCCCTGGCAAGAATTGGAAAAGAAAAGAAAGGAAATGAAAAGGAATAGCTCTATTGGAAGCAGAACTTTGCACAATATGCCACCAGTCTTTACGGGCTTCCCACTCGTACCCAATTTTTTCAAGTAATAGCGAATAAAGCGGCATTAGGACTTAAGAAAATAGAAGAATAAAAATTCACTATTTAAAAACTCACATACCTGTGATTCGAGTGAGATTCTGTCCCTCCAGTTCCTGGAGATGGGTACCGGCGAAACCGGAGACGTGAGCGCCGAGGCTGAATCCAATTATGTGGAATCGATCAGCCGTGTAATTCAAATGCCTTCCAAGTACTTGGATAAATAGGCCAAGTTGCTTCCCGACGAGACGAGTATTCACCGAAGCTTTTACGTAATTCGGTAACCCCGCTCCTTTCTCCCAATCCACGCACATGACATTGCTGTCAACCTTCAATAAATCAAGGCGAGCCCTAAGACATATATCCCAATAATTTTTTTTTTTTAGGGAAGAAACACACATGAAAGCATTCACGCATCGGTAAGTTGGCACTGTCAAACTGTTTTGGGCACTGTCACAACTGAAGATCAAAAAGGAAAGCTCGAGGTTTTAACATTCAGGTGCCTGGCACAGTCATCACCTAATCAGATTTCGTAAGAAGTCACTTCATCTTTCACCAAGACTATTCAGTTGCATGCTAACAGCAGAGGCCATCGCGGAGTGGGGTAAACGGCAAAATTCCCACGTTCCACGCAGCCTTAAGGTATTCAAGTTGTGCCGTTTCACCCCATGCTTTGTCTGTAAACGAATAAGGATATAAGGGGCTCCAGGAACACTGTCAGACTAGTTGTAATGTTTCCAGCCTATGTCTCTAGGAAACTGCAGCTGCTAAGGATAGGGACTTCATTGCCGTCATACAATCAGAGCCACCCAGAGGTTTCCAGTGGCCCGGTGGCAAATCTAAACCGGAGACTCCTTGAGGCTCTTTGGAGGCCCCCTTTCATGCCCCTTGGTACGCGGGGCCCGGGGCAGATTGTCCCCGATGCCCCCCTCCCCCTCCATCTGGGCAGCCTTGCGTACACTAAGACCTCTGTCCGACCTGAGACCTTCACTTAGCCTGCACTAGATGTTTCTCGTGTGACAGACTCCGTATTTTCTTGCTCATGGAAGGGAGAACGGACGTCAGGGATTTCATCCCTCTCAATCTTCACCTCAAGTCTCTGAATAGAAAAGCCCAGGCTAAGAAATCCTTTAGAAATGAACAGATTTTGAATAGAAAAGCTCAGGTTATGAAATCCTATAGAAATGAACAGAACATGGTTCTACCAGAGGGTTCCCACGTCAACGCGCTATAAATGTGTCAGATCGGCTAAGCCATCTAATCGAGAGTCTCTGCTCACATCACCGGACATTCGTTCCAGAATTCTTGAAGACGATCTGCCCCAGCCTTCGCTTGAGCCGAGGCCTGGAGGGAAAGGTGAATGCGGAGTTTTCTTCAACGAATGAGCATGAAAAGCCGCATTCATCGTCACGACTTCCATTTTTCCTTTGTCACATCACCCTGTTTCATCCAGCTTGCAGTTCATCCTTTCATTCTCTTCCCCAGGAGAAGTGAATAAATATCAGTTTCAACGGCATTTAACCCTTTCACCGCGACGCCCGAGTAAACTTGTACACGAGAAATCATTCCACTAGCGCGACTCCCGAGTATAATCGCTTTCAAATGTTACGTTCACAGCGCGGGTTCCCGTAATACCACACTTTCAATTGCTTCTTCCCTTCTTCCCTAGAAGTCGTAGTTGCTCTACTCCGGGAACGCTAAAAAAAAAAAAAACCAGTGTTGGGGGGAGGCTATTGCGCCGATTAAGACTCCACGGTGAAAGGGTCTTTTCGCCTGCACTGGCTGCTGGAGATTGTCGAGGAAGCTTATGAACTTGAGAACGTGAAGGAGATGCGGAGAAGGAAGCAGAGCCGAGAGCTAAAGCATCACGATTGAATGGGAGGTATAAAATATCTTGAAGCCTAAAGGTTAATTCAAAATACTGTACACTCAATGGGGATGGAATGTTAAAAAAAAAAATAGTTTTCTTTTTCTCCTATATTATGACAACGGGAAAAGAATAAAAGCCAGACATGAGATCACATGACTTCGGCGAGCAACTCCGCTGCCATGTGCAACCTCTATCTCAGCAATGAATCTGCCTGATACGAAAGTCAGCAGACTGGAAATGAAACAAAGGAAAGAAAGCTGGTAACTCCTACAGGTAGCTACTTAATACAGTCATGCAGTTATATCATAGAACATGCATTACATTGCATTGTTTTCTAGCTGCCCAGTTCCCCGAGATCGACTCATGAAAACCTTCGATGATGTCATTGGTCGCAGGCTAAAAGTTCTTGGTTTTACCTGAGCGAGGATGGCAGTCCGCATTTCCACGGCCCAGTGATGACTGCAGCTACTTCCAAATCCGTGTACGATCACGATGGAGTCCTTGGATGTGTTGAAGAGCAAGGGATTCGTGGAGGTGAGGTTGGAATAATGCAACATCTGGGGTCGAGACGGGTTCAATCGAGTGAAGAGCAAGAATTTCGTCCCGATTTCGTCAGGAGGGGCTGGAAGGAGGTCTAAATAATCGAATGGACCCTCGTCACGGAAACAGCCCAGTTCCTGGTAACACACCACTTCCTCGTCCCGCTTTCGTCTACAAATGACCGGGGTAAAAAGAGAACCAACATTCATTGCACGTACTCGTCGAGTCAACAGTTTCTGGGTTGGAACTTCTTTTTTCACTCGGGCACAGAGAAACCCGCGGCCTTAAAATAACATTCACCCCAGTCTGAAAAAGTGCTTCGTAGAACTAGTTTTCTTAGATTACAGTTATACATGAATATGTAAGTGATACAGGTAGATTCACACAGTATATTGGTTTCCGGCAGGGACCTAGTGACCTTCGTGGTATCTCGTCGGTATCCCTCATCGCCGGTGACATTAGAACAATGCGAATATGAAGGAATCGGAAGAAGCTTTGTCTTCGCGTGAGAAGGAATCAGGGAATGGCAAAGGTATTATGCAGTCAGGTTTTCCCATGGCCTGAGAGAGAAAGCACATCGACCTCGGAAAAAACCGCTATATTGTACTCTCTTACTCTCTCAATCCTCTCATGCAATTTCGATCTTACTTGAGAAAGCCTCGTGAGAGAAAAAAAGAAAACAACGGGAATCATTGGAGCGAAGAATTACGACGAGTATTAGACCACGCCAGGATCTTATAAAACAGAAAACTCGTCACGAATGACAACTATTCTAATATCCACATATAATTTTCCATTTTAGCGCCTGACGGCAGCTACAGCAACATCAGGCCTGACGGCCTGATGTTGCTGTAGTTGACCACGAAGATGGCGAACATACTGTCCAATTCAACGGTGACCGTGACGAGGCTAAATACTAAGTATATGGATCGTGACGACGACTAGGGCCATCTGAGCCCAATTTCGTCCCATTAATCGCCCCATGCTTGTTGTTCTTCCATGAAGAACAATCGTTCCATCGGTCAAAAACCCGCCAAAATAACCAGCCAAGCTTGATGGTAACAAATTCAGCAGACATTACGGGTTAGTTGACAAGGTTTCGATATCGATCTCCGCATGACCTAGTCATGACTAAGACAAAACAAAGAGAACTCCATTTGTCATAACTGACTCGCTAAATTTAACGAGGGCTCGAAGTGACCAGACTATGACTGTGACGAACTGGAGAACCCTACCTAATACAGTAATAACGCTGCAGGGAACCGAACCATTGCGGAATTTTCAACATCCCATGAAATAAACACAAGACATTTCCTTTGGGATTTTTCCCGCTTAATATGTAGATTCAATCCGAAAACCATCATTCTTCCAACTATATTTCGTACAACAGTTGGATGCAAAGGGGATGGCGGGGGGATGGACATTTTCAATTTCAAACGTAGATGTAGGTCTAATTGCTGTGGAATGTCACGGAAATTCCACATGCTGTGTCTGCACGAAATGGTGAATAATGAGAGTCTGAGGAGGAGCATCCAGGGGAGTATCCCCCCTCCTTGAACGGGATGTTTCTCGGTCCTCACGCCAAGCTAAATAGGTCCGTTTATCATGTACCTTACAGGTGGAATTGTAAGCCTTTTTCGCAGCCCATTAGAAAGACGCTATTTGGCAAGATGAGCTCCCTTCGTCTCAGCAGAATGTCCCATAGCAAGTTGCGAGGAAAGCCGAAATTTATGCGAATAATTCATTTTGCAACGAAAGAATACCGTAAAAATACCTTGTCGCTAGCTAGGTCACTTGAATTCCTGAACATTCTCTATCCGTCGATATTGATGAACGATGCTGCCTCTCCACTTCGAGCGTAATTGCATTGACCCAGCTTTTGATTAAAAACGGAAGTCATCCTGACCAATAGCTGGACGGTTCGGTCTAATCGTAGACCACGCCAATCCCTGTGAATTTCTTTTTTATCCAAACTATACCGTACTTTTCGGAAGTAATGAGTCTGCAGAACGTCTTACGGTGCACCGTAAATCTCCAATCCCAGCGAATCATCGCAGCATTCGAAGAATTGTTCGAATGCTCTATTTAAAAATAGTGGAATTAAATGAAAAATGTGAGTAAAAGGAATTTGAAATGAGTGAATATAAATTAGTAATTAAAAAGGAGAATTTATATTCCATCTAATTTTATTCTAATTGGAATCTAAATAAAAGAAATTAATCTAGACCTGGCATGAGGATTGTTCTTCTTGGTCCATTGCATCCACTTCCATTGAGCCATGCTGGAGAGGACGGCGGCGAGGAGAGTCTCGTCCCCCGGTTCCTGCTTCACCGAAATCTCCTCCGTTGCGTTGTAGATCTCCTCGTCCGTCAGATGCCCCTGATCTTGCTCTTGCTCTTCTCCACGCAAGCCCCCGATCGACAGGAAGACTGCGGGAAAAAAAAGTCCATTCCACGATAACCCAGAAAATCGGATGGTTTCTTGCGTTCCGCGTGAACGAGATCTGCGAATGTGGCCCACTGGGGAATTGAGGATGAGTAATTTTCCGCTTCACACAATAATGGAGCTCCGGAAAGAAAAAAAAAGGAATTACTTCCTCCTTTGCGCTATCTATCACGCAAAAAAATAATCAGATGAGCCTCGCTCCGACGACGAACTGTGAAGAGGCTTTCTTTTTTTTTGTCTCATTCCACCAGGACAGTGGAGTGGAAATCTTCCCTCGAAATCCTTTCCCTTCTTCCATATCCAAGCATGGGGAAAAGGCTCAACTCCATCTAGCCGACATGAAATATAATCTTTCACAGAATGTCCACGCTTCACAAGAGAGAGAAGGGAGGGAGACAAGCGCCATTTTCAAGACACCTGGATCGAGTAATGGAATGGAATGGAAAGTCCGCACATGACCCTGGGAAAGAAAACTTCTCAATGTCTTAAGGGAGACCAAGATCCTCTCCTTGTTTGTCTCATTTCTCCCTTCCGCCCCCACCCCCCCTTCCCCAAAACTCAGTCATGGATAGACGCCTGAGCAAATAATCGTCTCTCTCTTTTCTTATTTTTGACCTCAAGCCAGGCGGTCAGATACTCTGCGGAACCCTATATTTGTGTGGTCTAAAGAAAAAAAAAAAGCCCTCTTCCGCCTTCCAACTGAATAACAATAACGCGACGTGAAATTACACATGTCCTATTTTGACATGTAGCACAGAAAACAGTTTTTTTTTTTCTCTTAGACTCGGGGTCGCTTTCACGACTGAAAAGGTAACGGAAACACGAGGAGAGGCAAAACAGGGGTCACTATGACACGTAACACATTCACGGGCACGCGGGATCTTCTGCAAAATCGTCACGCCTAAATGGAGTCGTCAGCCGCAAGGAGGTGAAATAGACCGTGGGATACGAAAAAGGAAGAAAAGGAAATGGAAATACTTAACTTTTATTCCCTCGTGGATGTTCCTAGGTTCTGTTTCCCCCTCGAAAAATTGAATGGATAACAAAATTTAAATTCACAAAAAAAATACAGTCACAAAAATATTTAAGTGAGATGCAAAAATATGAAAGCCGCGTGGGATTAACATGGTTTCTGGGCCAGTAGACCTACTCGCCCGAGACCGATTCAATATCATTAGGAGCTCAATTCCAAAAGCTGATTATAGACTAAAGCAGAAGACTATGATAGTGATTACGAGGTCCACCGTGGAGGCTAAGGGGGACACGGCAAGGAACATCATTGCATACTGAAGAGGCGATTCGGTGCAAGAGAGAGAAAGAAGAGAGAAATGAAAGGGAGTGGAGATGGATGCATGATTGATTGATCGGCCCAAGGCGTCATCAATCCGATCAGGTCAACCTGATAGAGACGTCAGGAGACCCTTCTACCGTTGATTGCTCTGAAGAAGGCGAGGAAGTGAGAGGAAATCGACTGCATTTTCCCGACGAAGGCTTTTTTTAACTTTCATTCTGCATGGAGCGTCGTGAAAGCCCTGCCCACTGTGGGAAAGTCCTTGCTCTTTCACTGCGACGACTTCTTAGAAAGGACAAAATCGTTCAGCAGAGTCATTCCTCAGAGAGCCTGCCATCTCGTTCGAATTTATGCAACGAAATTGCACAACCCATGTTTGACGTCCTCCAACTTCGTCAGTGGTTACGGATATTCTTCCTCATAGATCAGAAGTGGAGATTCTGCAAATTTATTGAAAATAATAAACAGAAACAGATGGCCATTGCGCAGAAATGCAGAAGGAATATCTCGGAATACGGCCTAAACACTCAAGGAAAATTTTCATTAAATTGCGGCAAATACACATAACAATGAAGATGAATGAAAAAAATAAGACAATGACTTGGCGTCATTCCAATCAGAATTTTCAGCGATCCCCACGGGAACCAGCGGAAGAACGAGCAAGATAATTAAACCGACAATCCTGCGAATTCGGATTTAAATTCAGCCATTCCAACGTTTCGGGCATTGCGTCAACTTCAAAATGATCTAAGTCAAGCATTACGATCAATTTATGAATTATTCATAATTTATACATGTAGCTCGCCAAAGTCCATATTAAAACAGATTGCAGACCAGACGGACTGGAACCATGAAAGAGAGGCATAAATACGATCATGAGTGTGGGTTCAGGGTATGTGGGTCAGGTCAAGGAAACTTGTTTACATATACCAGCAGAGGTGTGACAAAATAAGAAGGGGTTTCGCGTGTATGAGGACCTAGATAGGTGACCTGGTTCCAGGCTAAGCCCTGGACGTGTGAAAGTGATTTGAATAACAGGCGATTCCGGATCTCCAGGCCTTCTTACATATCGAATACAAAAAAACGCTTCTCGGAAGGTCGACTCGATGTGACGAGGGCGAAGAAGGAAAGTTCGGTTATGTGGGATCGAGTTCTATGGAAAAAATGCAGTTTCCGTCTTAACTTTAATTAGATGGTGCGGCGGGGGGGGGGGGGGGGGGGGGGGGGGGGGTGGCCCCCC